CATGCACCACTTTTTTTTTTTTCCTTTACTGTGGGATGGTTATAGCCAGAATGTCTGTGACCACATGAAAATTAAACCCTAGTAGCAAAAATGCTCCTTTCTGTTTGGGGGAGCAAAGTGCAAAGGCCTCTGTGAAGCAAATATGTTTCTATTTTAGTTTGGGAAATTCAGCCATCATAAATCTCTATCTAGTTACCCAGAAAGTGAAGTTGGGGGAAAAAGTTAGGGCAGGGGGTGGGGTGGAACCCTCTTTTAAAAAGAGAAACAAGTCCAATAGAAAAAAAACCTATGGTTACCAAAGGGGAAAGGTGGGTGAGGGATAGAATAGGGGTTTGGGATTAACATAGACACACTACTAGATATAAAATAGAGAACAAGGATGTACTGTAGAGCACGGAACTATATTCAATCTTCTACTAGCCTATAAGGGAAAAGCATCTGAAATATATATATGGAAGAGATGAATAGGACAGGCATTTTCCATTTATAGTTTATCCTAGTGCTGGAAGATTATGAACAGTAGTAAGCACTGTTTCCTAGAACAGAGAATGTACGGCAGAAGACGTGGACTGGTCCCTGCTTTTGTTTTCGGTCTTATTTAAATCCTCTCAAAGCTGCATCTCTATCACACAAGGCATATGAGAGACTTCTGGGCATTCAGCAGGACCTCTGTCTGAGGCCCAATGGGAAAAGTTCACCCCCGGAGCAGGTGGGCAAGCAACTCTTTCCAGGAATGAGCCTTAGAATTGAGCTAAGAAATTATACTCTAACTAGGGCCCTCATGGAGTTTCTCCACACTTTCAAAGCAGGAGATTTGGGAATTAAGTCAAAGGAGACCTGAAAACTCTGGCTTTCCTGAGATTCCCCAGGTTTAGTCCTGAAATTCCTAGGTCCCAGGAAATTCTTCAGCCCTGGGCAAACCGGGAAGGTTGGGTAGGGGCATGTAAGTTACCGAGTTCCACTTTGTGCCTGGATCTCCCTCACCTATGATTTAAGCGGTGGTTTGTGAAACAGTTTTGAATAAGGATGCAACACTTTTTTTTTGCTATGAAATAATGTGGAGAAAGCAGTATTGACCAACTATTACTAAAACGATCCATAAAGAAAGAGCTGTCTTGGGCTTCCCTGGTGGCGCAGTGGTTGAGGGTCCGCCTGCCGATGCAGGGGACACGGGTTCGTGCCCCGGTCTGGGAAGATCCCACATGCCGTGGAGCGGCTGGGCCCGTGAGCCATGGCCACTGAGCCTGCATGTCCGGAGCCTGCGCTCCACAACAAGAGAGGCCACAGCAGTGAGAGGCCCGTGTACCGCAAAAAAAAAAAAAAAAAAAAAAAAAAAAAAGAAAGAGCTGTCGTCTTATGAGGAAAAAATGCCATAATTTTGTATCAGGGAGTGATAGAAGGTGAGCCTTGCTATGCTATACCCCTACTTCAGGGGCTTTAGAAGTTTCAATGTTTAGATTCTTCTCCTTTATAAAGGGATGAGAATTTGGAGTAGAGTGTAGGTGGTGAGGGGAGCAGACAGCCAGCTGAAGGTTACAAAGCTGAAGGATGTGGCCCCTCTGTGAACACCTCCCCATCCCCAATAAAAACTCCACTGATCAACGCGTGGTGAGACCTTTGTTCTTGTGAATCTGGAGAAGCGGCTGAGTGTGAAAGCCAGCCAGCCCTGTGGAAGTCAAGATCAAAGACAGAGGAACCTGGGGAAGATAGACTCACACCTGAGGACTGGAGTGTCGGCCTCCACAGGCCAGTGAATCTGTGTCACTCCAAGAAGGCTTTTGCTCAGAATGTCATCTTTCAGCGATCTATCTCCTTATAACCGGATACAAAATAGCCACCACATATCCCCCTCAACTTCTGTCCTTTTAACCTGTTCTTATTATTCTTCCCGGCACTCTTCTCCACTTGACATATAGGGAGTTCAAAATGTAATACCCAATCCTTATCCTTTAGATCAGATGGAAAATTAAGGCAAGGAAAAAGAGGATCAATTTCAAGACATCAACTTTAGTGCTGATGAAGCCAATAGTGGGTCCTCTGCTCACCACCCCAGCAGGCAGCTGGTTTGGATGTTTTGTGGAGCTTACCTGTCCCAATGGCTGCTGCACAGTGCTCTGCTGCAGGGCAAGGGAAAGAGCGAATCTCCACTGTGGAGAGAGGCCAGGAAAGTCACACGGGCTTAAGCTCACCCGTGGAAATACGGAAATGGGAAGGAGGTTACAGCTCCCAAAACGCTGTATATTCATGACTTGTTTAAAATGTAAGCTCCATGAGGAAAGACTTTGTTTTGTGAACTAATGAATCCCCAGTGTCTAGAACAGGGTTTGGCATTTGTTAGGTATTGGATAAATTTTAGTTGAATTAATAAATTCACTGGAGAGAGTCTAATTAATTCCAACCAAGGGGCAGTGAAGACCTCAGATGACATCAGGAAAATGTGAAGTTGACTTAATTAGGAAACATTCACATTGTGACATGGTGATGTGCTACCCAGATCCTCCCTCAAGGAGAAACTAGCTCCCCAGCTGCAGAGAATGCTTTCGGCAGACAGCCTGCAGCCATTAGCTGCTTCACGGTCGGCCTCGGACAGCCAGAATCACAGTCTTCCCGATGCGGCTCACATCTAGCAACTGAGCAAATTGCGAGTCTAAGAACCTGCTTATTCTGAGCCATTGCAGATCTCCTCTGATGGGCAGTAATTGCTCTGCAGCATCCCATTGGGTCGGCTGAGATTTCGTCAGCCTGCACCGTGGTCCAACATTTCTCTCTGCCCAAGCCTTCCTCCCATCCCCTCCTCTCATAGGTGTTGAGGCTTAATGATAACTTTACATGCCTAATTCAGTTCTCTGCATCTGCTTCTGGAGAATACAACCTGTGACAGCAGGGTCGTTCTGCAGAGAAACAGACATGTCAGTGTGGACCTTGAGGAGAGATGTCTCGGCATGGAGATTCCTTTTTGGGAGGGATTGCCATACATGGACACCAAAACCCTAAGAATCCATGCTGTCCTCTGGGGGAGAAGAAGTGTGGGAAGTGAGAATAGAAGTAAGAAATAGCAAGAGAGAATCTGAGGAAATACCAACATTTAAGATGGAAGGCAAATCCACAATGTAACACACTGACCCAGGAAGATAGGATGGAAAAATATACAGCATATTTGGCACTTAAATGACTTTGGCATTCTTGAAGAGGGGCCATATTTTAGGCACTGCACTGCGAACTGAGTGAACAAGTACAATGGACAGTTAAGGGTAACCTTTATTCTCAAGAACTTTGGAGGGAAGAAGAGATGGCTGCTACAATGGGAACAAACAGGTGACGAGAGTGTTGTTGGGCAGAGAAGAAACATAACAGTGAAAAGCAGATGCATGAGGGAACAGAGATAGTAGCCAAGATCAAAAACAGCCACGGGAAAGAAAGTGACAGTCTCTGCCAAAAGCGACACGTAAGAGAAGAGCGGAATGTCGGCCACGAGAATTCTGTAAAGTAGACAAAATCAGTAACAACTTATAGAAAGAACCCCTTTAGGAAACAAGCACTGTTCCATCCTATGGAATATACCTAAAACAGACTTTTTTTCCTAAATGGAAAAAAAAAAAACCCAAGGAGCTACACAAATAGGGCATCATCAAGCCGTGGAAACATTAACCGGCTGCTGGTCTACTGGTGCAGACACTACGTCTAACAAAAAGGTGATATTTTGTGGAGCGGTCAAAGCGCACTGGAGATGCTGTATCACCACTAAATGTCACGATAGGCATCTGCTCCTTGATTTTTTCTTTCCCTTTTTCTACTTTTTATTTTCTGTCGACAGAATTTTTTAAATATATATTTAGTTACATTTTATATAGAGCAGTGCACAGTTTAAAGTTTTAATGTTTGGAGAACAATTTAACTTACCATCTTAAGCTGATCGAATCACATAATTAAATGTGTAATGCTTCAAAATGACCTGTTTCTTTAACGAGGTATGGAAATGTTAGCCAAGTATAGTAAAAATTTTGTATATTACCAAGTGTGTGATCAATTTTTGTGTGGGACGGATGGTGGGAAGAGGGGAAGAGACATATTTTAAATTCTTCAGGTGCTTTGTTTTTTCTTCAGTCCCCACAGTTATAGAAAAGATAAAACTCTTTTTCTCTGAAAATTGGATTCTTTTCAAAGAGTTCCTTGTATTCTTCCCTCTGTTGCCTAATACCCCGAATAAGCTGTTTTCTTAGGTAGCATTCAAAAGGTGTCCCCTCCAAGACTCCAGTCACCTGGCTACTCAGTCAAAACTAATTTAGATGCTGCTGTGAAGAAAATTTGCAGATGGAATTGAGGTTACTAATCAGCTAAGTATAAAAATAGAGAAATTAACCTGGGTGGGCTCAGTATAATCACTTGTGCCTTTAGGAGCATAACGGGAAGGCAGAAGGGTCAAGCCAGACAAATGCCGCAGGAGAGGAAGTGGACAGAGGGAGTCAGAGAGATAAAGTGTGAGAAGGACTTGGTTCGTCATCGCTGGCTTTGAAGATGAAGGGGACCATGAGGTAAGGAGCGCAGGAAACCGCTACAAACTGAGAACAAACACCACTGACAGCTGCAAGGGAACCTCAGTCCTACAATCACAAGGAACTGAATTCTCTTGATAACCTGAATGAACCTGGGACAGGATTCTTCTTTAGAGCCTCCAGAAAAGAATGCTGCCTGGCTGAAATCTTGATTCTGGCCTTGCGAGACCAAGCCAAGAGACAGCTGAGTGAGGCTGTGCCCAAATTCTGACCTGTGGAGACTGAGATAATAAATGGGTGTTGTTCAAACTGCTCAGTTAGTGGTCGTTTGTTACGGCAGCAATAGGAAACGAGTGCAGCTAATGACCAATTAAATAGCATTGCAATTTTTACTCCCAATTAAGTCTTTCCGGCCCTGTAGGTGGACTCTTCATTCAATAGTTCTTGATTTCAATCTCAATTTGTCTAAACTTTATTATTCACCATGCATAATGCATTTAAATTGACAGGTGTTGTCTCTCCCTTCATAACATAAGAAAATCACTGTCTGTGCAGTGCAGAATAATGAAGTTCTATCACTGATACCATTGGAAGAGCAATGATCTATGAATTGAAAACATTATTAAGTGGTAAATATGAATACCAGTTAAATGCAGCCCACCATACTCTGCATAGGATTAATTATGAGTTTATCAAGCACCTCTGGCATCACTTAAAATTCCTTGGAATCCACTAAAATAACCCAACTTAAACGGAACCAAAGTATAATTTGTAAAAAGAGCAGAACTTATAATGAGAGTACAGCTTTTATCATTTAAGCAAAACTTTAATTTTTAAGGTTTTAAAACACTAAGTGGTTTTCTCACTCCTTGGCAACAGAGGTGAAACATTTTGCATGAACACGTTGAAAGAGAAGCATTACAGCTTGAAAATGATGTGTATAATACTTCCATTCTGAATGCAAGGAGATTGTTCCATGACTGTTCAGTTCATTCCAGGGTTTCCTATCTACCTTTAGTTTTTGTTAATCTTCTGATTCTTGATTCTAAATCCAGGATGCTACTAAGTATGATAATCTCTTAAACATAGTCCATTAATATCCTAGTGGCCACTAGGAGATGAAAATGCTTATGTTATTTCTTAACCATCTTGAAAGAAAAGAACAAATGATGTCTGACTCCATCTATTTGGAATTAATTGACTGTCTAATGAGCCATTCTATCTTTAAATATAGTTCACTTTGGGCTGATTGGCAAATAATTAACATGATTTGGTCTATAAATGTCAGCATTCCACATTCTCTCATATTCTTGTGTTTCATTCCAATATAACAACTTGCCTCAGCTACATTTTTTTGCTGACTGGGAAAGTCACGGCCCAGTGTTGCTTTTGCAGCACACTTAACTCTTTGGTTTTGAATAAATATTAGTCATTCCAATGGGAGAGCATAATGGCAATGCTAAATGCAACTGCAAATCAACTATACCTTCTCTGAGTAGTCAAAAAATAGTTAAGATGGTTCTTCCCTGGTGCAACAAGATAGACACTGATTAAAATAGACATTCCTAATGAGCTTCAGATGAGCTGCCAGGTGAAGCACAAGGTCCTTTTATAAGATATTATATCCTATTTGGATATGATGTGAATTTTCTTGAGTGAAGGGCAGTAGGATGTAATGAGAGCTGACATTGGCAAGGATTCAATTGTTAAAATACCGGATTGCTTAACTGTATGTTTAAACAATAAAAGATGCTGCCAAAACATTGAATCACGAGGTTTAAAAAAATCAGCTTGTTCCATTCTTGGTCTTTATCTAGGAATCACAGGGCCCGGAAACAGTGTGGATAATGGTTAAAGACTTGGGCTAGGAAGCCAGTCCCATCCAGGTTTGAATCTTTTCACCACTTTCATTAGCTGTATGATAACGGTCAGCTTATTCAAACCCTCTGGGCTTCAGTTTTCTTGCATTTAAACCAGGATGGTACCTACTGCTTACGAATGTTATGAGGACTAGATAAGACATGGTGTATAAGGCACATCGCACCATACTTGGTACACAGTACCTGGAAAATGGTGTTTTTCAACACTGTGATCATTCTTACTACTATCATGCTGTTGTGACAGAAAGAGAATTCTTTTAGGAGCTGAGTCACTTTTGTATGACATAGGGCAAGTCCTTTAGCCACTTGGAATATACCTTTCCATCTCTAAAAAACAGTAAAACCACAAAGTTGACCGTGCAGTTTAAGTGACATAATGTAACAGGTGCTCAGTGAATGTTAGTTTCCTTTTTTTTCTCCTCTGGCTTTTTTTTTTTTTTTTTAATCAAGGTCCATCATTGATGCTAACGTGGTACTTGGTGGTGCATTTTCCCTCCGAGGTAATGCAATTGCATTTTTTCACAATAGAAATATTGGGACCCAATTCTTAACCAAGCAATGGTTATGATAGTAATTTATGCTACTATGGTAGATTTCATGACTCGTATATTTGAGGGATCAGTCCTTTCAGAAATTCTTCCATGTTGCTTTCATGGATTTGCCTTTGGTAATTTACACACTTTCTCCAAAGAATTTTTGCCATTGGCTAATAGTCCTTTCCACTTACCCAACACCTCCTACCTTACCAGTCAACTGAAACATTCCTGTGAATCAGTCACTTAGGATCTGTCAAGGAGGGAGAAATTTCCCTCTACCCTTCTAAGTTCTTCTGGATGATCTAAGAATTCAGTTGACATGAGACAGATTAACGGGAGGAAGTCAAAGTTTAACACCATGTGTACATGGGAGAGACCCAGGAGAACTGAGTAACTCGCAAAAATGGCCAAAGCCCTCACCTTAAATACCATCCTCAGCTAAAGACAAAAGAGGATTTTGATGGGGGGAGGGGAGAGCCAGTTATGGGAGGCGACCAGGAAAAGCACAGTAAACAAGGGTATGGTTGTTACACAGCTTTCCATCATTGCCTCCCCCGCTGAAAGGAGTTTCTACAGGTTTGGTCACCTGCCTCTTCCTGGTCCATCAAGGGAGATACCTTTACAAATGGAGATTTCCCTTGTAAATGTAAATGTTTCTTACAAAAGTGTAACTCCTACTTGGTTTTCAGAGTTTTTCCCAAGTCTTCTGTTTCTTAGAACATAACTAGCTTAAAATAATTAATATGCCACAGAGACATATTTGGGGTGGCAGATTCTGTGCCGCCACAGATTCTAATCCTACGGTTGTTTGACCTGTTTAATTCCAGTGACTTTCAAACTCCATTACACACACACACAAACACACACACCTCGTCTGGTTTAAAACTAACTCATTCTTTTTCTTCCCAAACCTACCCCTCCTGCCACGTGTTTCTTCTCCATTAATATCACCACGTAGTTGCCTGAGCCTGGAACTTTGGAGCCATCCTTAATTCTTTCAGCACCATCCTTAGCATAACAAATGAATGACCGAACATTATCAGACATTTATAAAAATTAGCTCCCAAATCTATTCTCTCCTTTTTATCACCTTTGCTACTGTCTGAGGTTGAGCTTTATTATTTATTATTTGTTTTTGTTTGTTTTTAACCTCAACTACATTTAAACTGGACTCACTACTTCAATGGTCAAATTCCTAAGAACCACCCTTCACATAATTAGAGAGTATGACTTTGGACCTTAAAACTCTTTAGCAAATGCCCATTAACTTTAGGATAAAATATTGCACAGTATACAAAGGCTTCACAACCACGTCATAACCCTTCCGCTTTCTGTTACTGTCTCTCATGAATATCCTTTGCTCCTATCATGCTGAATCATTTCCTTTCTCAAATATCATTGCACTTAAAGCATCATTACTTGGTAACGTGTATAGTCTATTCCTAGAGCATTAGCTCTTTAGAACAAGACCTCTCTGTCTCTGTCTCTGTGTGTCTCCAAATATTCATGATACATAAAGCATTTTTAGAGCAAATAAGTGAACTATTAAATGAATATACGAATAGATGACTTTTAGTAGCCTATGGTGTTATACAATAATCAAAAGACAAGGTTCTTTGTTCTTCCACATATTATTTTAGAGATTAGAAGGATATACATTAATCTTTATTATAAAAGATGAAAACTGTCTACAGAAAAAAAATGCACAATGTGAGAGCTGTGAGTTCAGTTTTATTTGGGGCAAAAGGAGGACTAGAGCCTCAGAGACAGCATTTTAGAGAGCTCTGACAAACTGCTCCCAAGAGGTAGGAGGGGAAGTCAGTACATATTATATATGATCTTGGTGAAGGGGATACATGCAATTAAGCACACATCTCAGTAGAAGTTTGCTGCTAGTCACGAGGAACAGATGTCTCTGTTAATGATTTTAGTGCTCTTCTGGGTATGAGAAGATGCAAGAAATTGGGTTCATAAACTCTTCTCCCCAAAATATCTAACATCTGAAGGCCTGTTCTGCCAGTTTTCCCAGAGAACAGAGGGCCTTATTACTGATCTCTGCTCTGAACTCCTTTCAGGGGGTGTTAAAGGTCAGCAACTGCAGTGGTTGATGACCTAATCCTTGTAGAGCCAGATGGTGACTAACATTCTTTAGTTTGCAAAAGTAATAAGCTCCAAATGATAGATATAAACTGTCAGAAGCTTGAAAGGAGAGACTATTTACTCTTTTCCTGGAAGATAAAACGATGAGAGCAGAAAAGATTTTGGAATGAGATATTTGCGTTCAGCCTTGAATGCGACATACACTTTGATCATTAAAAAAAACAGGGGTGGGGCTTCCCTGGTGGCGCAGTGGTTGAGAGTCCGCCTGCCGATGCAGGGGACACGGGTTCGTGCCCCGGTCCGGGAAGATCCCACATGCCGCGGAGCGGCTGGGCCCGTGAGCCATGGCCGCTGAGCCTGCGCGTCCAGAGCCTGTGCTCCGCAACGGGAGAGGCCACAACAGTGAGAGGCCCGCGTACCGCAAAAAAAAAAAAGGGTGGATTTTTCTAGCATGACCCTGCTCTCCCTCACCCTCCCCCACTGTTTGAGGAGAGTGGATACTCCGTTGGGTAAATGCGGTATTGAAATTGTAGAAGAGCAGTGGGCTGTAAGGCAAGTTGGGTTCAGATTGTGGATTCCATTCAATTTTATGCTAAGGAATTTGAACACTTTTAGGTAGGCAGTTAAAATAGCTTTATGCCTCATTCTGACAAACATGGCAGTTTCTCTGAAGGAATCAATTAAATGACACGGTAAAAAAATGTATAGTTTCGCACTAATCGATAGCCTAGCATTCTGTAATAAACATTTTGTCCCTTGAAATTCATCTTACTGCTTGTCTCTGACAGATAGGGACTGTTTCAGGTGTCTCTTTCCTTCCAGACTTTCTGGGGACTTTTCTTCAGTTAAATTTTATGGGGTACAGAGGATTCGACCCCAGTAAGATTTCTTTGAATTTCATACACAATTTTATTCCAAATACACTGACACCAAAAGCACCATCCGGCTTTGTTTGGGACTCAAAAAGTCTAAGTGGTTGTGTTAAAAATCAGAAAGACGTTTGTATTCTTCATGCCTAATCCTGCCACTACCTTTCCACTACCTTGGATGAATTCAACCAGCTTCTTAAACAACACTGCCACCTCCATGACCTAAGTATAATTCCTTTACAGCATGTCGGCTACATGTCTTAGGTGAACCTGTAGTGATTAAAATTTCATGTGTATTCTGTCATTTTATTCATGTCTTCTTTCTGTTTAATCAGTCTGTTACATTTTGATGTTGAGTAAGTGAATAAGATGCTGCTTTATTAATATTTCCCAGTTCGTCAAGCATTCTAAGTGCAAAACGAATTCCAGCTTGCAAATCTAAAAGAAATACAAGACAGACTGACTGCTGGAAATGGGCCTCTGGGATGGGGGTCAGTGGGAGGAGGGGAGGTCTTTTAACTCATGTTCTACTAGAGCCGAGAAGCTTGGAACTTAATTTCCTGAATGATCGAACTATATTTATAACAATAACTAACATTTACTAATTCGTATATACCTGAAACTAGTTACGTTCTTTAAATTCATTGTCTTTTTAACACTCATTAATTCTAAGATGTGGGTACTATTTTTAGACTAGTAACCAAGGCTTGATTGTAGAGTGAGTTTTCCCAAGGATGCTCTATATTTATATCCCCCTGTTGATGCTTAGAGCCGAGGCCCCCAAGACCTTGTGGAAACCAGGTTAGAATTTGTATGATTCCTGCTTCTTATATCTTTTGCCTTTCTATCCTTGGCTTTGAACCAAGATGCAAAAGGCTACAAAATATTAATATATTGTCTGAAAGCAGATGAGTTTTCAACAGACATCAGGCAGCCTACAAGGCAAACCTACCAAACAATGACGGTTGCAGACTATTGCTTTAGCTACTATTGGAAGGAATTCCAAATGTCATCAGTTTGGAAATAAGATTAGTGCTTCCATACTACCTGTTGAATTACATGTGGAAACTTTAACGCAAAGCCTTATATGACATTAAAGTGCAAGCGTAGGCACAGGAAGAGGATGAATGGCAGACACAAAGTGACCCCATCCACATTTAATAAAACCAGAGCAGGCTGAATGGAAGTCTGCAGTTCCCAGTACCTTCTGCAGCTGGGAACAGGTGTCTCTTCTTTTCAGCCCTCACTTTCCTTGGCTCTGTTTCCCCTACAAAGCCATCTGGCAGATATATGTGTTGCAGCATCGAAAGGAGCTAAACCAATTTCTGAAGATTATACAGTATGAAGGGTTTCCAGATTATGACCATCACTGACTCAAGATTTGGGTGTTAAGATGCAGTAAAAGGTAGTACAGAAAGGAATTATTAAAGTAGGGTAAGTCTAATGGTTTTTGTTCTGTGATATAAAGAAGATTCTTTATCAAGTTCATTAGGCATGTGAATGATAGTTCTAGGATGTAGATCTAGGTTCAGAAAAAATAAAGATGTCTTTGTATTTATCAGTTATCTATCTGGAAACATCACATATCCAGATATGGAGGTGAAAGTCCTGAAAATTAGGTTGTAATTCAATGATGCCAAGATTTTTTCCGTATAAAGACATTTGCATCTCCAATAGCATACTGATATTTTTTTTCTGGCACTTTTAAATGCAGAGATGCTAAAAATTACAATTACACTCTGAAAAAGAAATAGGTATAAATCAGAAGCAGTTCAAGAATGAGTCAAATTCAAGCTCCAAGCCATCTTTCACGTCACTTTCATTTCTATTTTAAACTCATTGTTCTTTCTTAAAGACACAGTCATTCACATAGATCAGCTCTCTGATGAACCTGCAGTGTCACCGAGTGCAATATGACCAAGTCTTAGAAGAGTTCCTTGTGTGAAGTTTATCACTCAATGAAATATTTATATATTCAATTACCTGTGTGGTGGGTTTAATTAAACCTTGCAGAACAACTAGAATATCTTGTCTTCTTTTGCCTTTTTGGTGATATTGATGGAAGTTATAAAAATATATCATACCCCAGAAATATTGCATAAACACTTCACATACATTCAAGTTAAGGTGGTCCTAATAATGCAACTTATTGACTATATACATACGTGTCCTAAAATTGCTTTCATAACCACCAATATAAAGTTAAGTAATTATGTAGGCCTCCTTAATACTTTTCTGTCCTGGATAAATTTAATTTTGCCTGTCTCAAAGAAAAATGTTTTACTAAATTAAATTCATTCATGAAAAATGATCAAAGCAAGAATATAATTCAATTACATTTCTCAACTTTTAACCTACGCATTGCATTTATTTTCTTCTAACAAATGTTATCACTATAGTAGAAAAGTGTACCTGCAAATATTCAGTTTTCTCTTATATTCTTTAAAAACCTGTAAAGATACAAGCCTGTTGAAACCGTAAGCCTTTGATGGATACCAAAAGTCAGCTTTTATATTTTAAATCACTGATGAGTAACTGTACATCGTCTTGTATATTGTTTGACACATTCATCTCTTCAGTGGAAAGAAACAAAAAGAAGGTAAGCAGTGAGTAAAAATGGATAGCAGAAGATTTGGAGATTTCAAAGCCTGAAATCTGTCTTCCTGACACAATTTTAAAACTCTGTGCCTCAATTACTGTTTCAGAAAGTAAGAATACAGTCATTTTGAAACTAATATTTTGTGAAAACTCGGGCAAAACATCTATAAAGTGATTTCTTTCTAAAGATAGTCTCATTTGCTAGAGGTGAAAACTTTTCGGCAGAATATTTTTACGGATGCCTCTATATATGGCCTTAAGATTAAATGCAGAGGCCCATGCCTCTGGATTGTGTTACACAGGAATTACGAGGAAATCCCAGTGGTACTTCTAGTAATTTAACCTGTGAAAATGGTTCAAGATAAACCTGTGCTACAAAGCTGTAAATTCCTGAACTCTTAAATGCAGTGTCTTTCATCACTGAATTCTGGTGCCCAGATTCTCAATAATTGTTAGTAGTGTGTGTTTTTGTTGCGGTGGTCGCGTTGGCGGTCCTTACATAGAGTAACAACCACGAAGTACTAATTACGTGCCAAGGACTAAAGACGTTTTTCTGTGTTGTTTTGTTTGACCTCTCTAATAACAATACATGGCAATTAGATACTATTATCCCCACTTTACTGATGGTGAAACTCAAAGAAAATAACTAAATTGCCCAAGTCACACAGTTTCTAGGCAGCATAGCACAAGTCAGCCTGCCTCCATAGGATGCTCTTTCCAATGAGTTGATGCGCGCCACCCTAGTAATGCTCCAGTGTAGATGGGACAAAAAGAGTTTGTCATTCTGATTAAGTATAAAAAAAGAAAACATTTGAAATAATCACCAATAAGCCCTTAGAGCCATGCCTTAGTGAATCAAAGCCATCTACTCTACAGTAGACATGAACCTGATTAATTCCTCAGTAGCAAAGGCTAAATCATGCCCTGTTGCTATAACAGAACTAATACAAGCCATAAGGACAAACAATAGCAGAGTCTTAAGTAAGGACAAGATGCGGTATTAACTGATTTCACCATGGCGCCTCTCTGGAATCCACAGACAAAGGCTAAAGGGAGGAGGTGGTGAGGTTTAGTAAATTAATAAAATCTAGCTCTACTGCGTTTCAGCCAAAGCTGAGTTTGTCTCCCAATCCGGTGAGAGCCATTGTCACCCCTACGAAAAGCCACACTCCAATCACTTCCCACATTTGTCTTCACACGTGCACCCTCTAACTGACGATCTGTCAGCAACATCAAACTTACTCTGACCAGATCTGTGAGTTTTATAAGAGACTTCAGAGATTTGCTTATTTTTCTAAGGAGACCAGCTTCAACTCTGCTGATAATGTGTTTTCTTTTGAAAATGAGCAGACAGGCTGCTGGAATCGTCCCAGAATCCACACCAGCTGACAGCTCCAACTTTTTAGGTCCACAGTGCCCACTCCCCAGCAGGTTTAACTTCACGGCCAGCTCGGGCAAGTAACAAACAATTGCAGAAACAGTGACAATGCGGACGGAGGGCTGTGGGAAAAGGACTTCACAAAAATGAGAAAACTAGAATGAGGATTTAGAGGCAATAGTAACTGAAAAGGAAATCTTAAAAGATATGACTGAGACAGGTCTAAATAGAGTTACACACACAAAAATTTCTTGAAGAAAGCCATTCAGAAAATCATATTTTAAGGTTTCTTTCACAGGAAGAAAGGAGACAATATTTTAGGACTGATCTTGTGGTCAAGCAGCAGAGCCTCAGAATCCTTCTGAGCATTTTAGTCCTGGAAACCATGATGCACTGAGCATGGTTAGTCCTCAAAGTACTAAAGTGCCACATTTCCTCTTTCCCATCTGGCTCACTCATGCCTGAAGTAGACCTACAATCACTTTGCTCCCTCCCTCCACATAACTAAAATATCCTTGTATGTGCACAGCTCTGAGACCTTAGCCACCAACATTCAATAGCAGATGTATAAAAGGTCAGATGTCAAATTATCTTTGTCCTGAGACATGACTTCATCAGTTCTGACCACAAATGCTGTTGTCAAACCAACTTTGGGTCTGCTCACCCGACACGTAGCAAAGCGGATCTACTGACACTGGGCTGTGGTGAAGGAAAGCATAGCGTTTATTGCAGGGCCCAGCAAGGAGAGCAGGCAGCTCATGCTCAAAAGCCCCCCAACTCCCTGATGGTTTTCAGGGAAGGGGTTTTACAGTCAGTGTTAGAGAGAGGGTCATGCAGTGTGTGATCGGCTTGTGCTCAATTCTCTGGTTGGTGGTGAGATAACAGGGTGGTGTTTCAGGAATCTCAGTCATTAACCTTCTGGTTCCAACCTATCTGGGGTCTACCTGCCGGTGGTCAGCATGCAGTTAACTTCCTCCACCTGGTAGGGGTTTCAGTATCCACAAAACAGCCTAAGGATATGGTTCAGGATATTATCTACAGCCCTTCAGGAGGAACTAAAGTTCTTTGACCTTGTTTTATGGCTAAACTATTATTATTTTGTCTTACTTTTTTCCCAATGTTTCTGAATTTTCTCACTTCTCTGATTAAATTTGCTCTTCGGAACTCAGGGAAGACCTAGGAGGCTAAAGCTTTCCTGCAAAGAAGAGGCAGGGGACCTGGGATGTCTGTCCCCGAGAAGGCCCCTCAGGGTCCTGCTTGGTTCCAATGCTACAGTTTTCCATCTCAATCTTGCAGGACTCTCTCTCGCTGCTGCTCATTTGACAACCATGACATTCTTACGTAGTCTAAATGATACCAAAATCAATATCTCAGGAAGTCTTGAAGAGCTTAAGAAATCATAAGGTGTTCCTGTGAAATCTGAGGGGGTGTGTACACTTGTCCCCAAAGCAAAGGAGTGGTCCCACCGCCCTCTGCTATAGCTCGGTAGTGGTGGGAATCCGTACAGACTGTTCTATGTATGTGAGCACCATGTATTTTTAGGCAACACCTGTAAGGCCCCTTCTTTGCTGTTGGATATTGACTCCCACAATCCTTCAACTTCATCCCTTTCCAGTCCTCTTACAGCATCCCATCAACTATTATAAGCTGAGTTATTAATACTTTGTTTTTAAATTTTATTTAAGTTTCCATTTTGCATGGGGAAAAAATGGAGGAATTTCGCGCAAAAATCACTGAACAGGGAGAAAAGCACAGAAGATTTCAGACCCTGCCTCCACCCCGATGTAGGACATGTTTTCCAAGTCCCAACAAAGTGAAGGATTTGAGGTACAGAATGAGGGATTTATTCCACATGGATTCTGTGGGTAAAATAGACACATTTCGGAACCTTTGAAAGAATTTTAGCTCTGGGATCATTTCAACCTCAGGAAACACTGGGAGAGAGTATCCTGATTAGGTTGCCACAAAGAGACGAACGTGGCAACAGCCGGGAGGACGTTTCAGCGGTCCTTTCACCAGTGGACGCTAAGGACAGAGCACCAGAGTCCAGGACTAATTTAACATAAGCAACAGACCCTGAGGTGACTAATGGAAATATTGGAATCG